CTATGTATGTTAAGAGATCAAGATCGAGCATCGTCGACCTCAACCACGTTTTGACTACACCGCAGTGTAGAGAAGTACCTCTCTACATTGCTCGTGGTGCAAGACAGTGCCAAAGAAATTAGTATAGGTTTTCTAGTTGGAGGAAAGAATGTTTCCGCCTTCTCTAACAACTCCGCAAAGTTCAGCTCTCTAAGATTTTCTCTTGGCATACCCTCATCATTCCATCGTTTATATCACAGTTCGGCTTTATTATCAAAGGATTCTAACCCATAGTATCTGCTGAAACTTTGTGTTTTCTGTTTGAATTCAGCCAATGAAATTTTCAACATCGCATCAAGATGCAGCATCATCAATCCGAAGGTAGGCATATGTTATTCAAAGAAACGATGTTCCAGTGCGGATATAAGGGAATCCAAATACGGGATGAAGATCGATCGCTTCCAAAAATCGCATGGAGTCTCAGCAGGATGATTGGACTGATATCGTTGGCGAAATGCAATGCGCGGGATATGTAAATCGGTTCCAATGACAGCTGCAGTTTCCGTAGAAGTATTGAAGACATATTGGAATTCCTGGTCCGCGTTACTGAGATGCTTCTTTCATATATACGTTTCTATTGTCTTTGATTATAGAGCATTGGCAACAGGTTCCAATATTAGTGAGTATTTTCCTATCAAACCAGCAGATATAATAAATTCTTACTTGGTAGCAGCACAATATAAGTGGTCAGCGTTTTTTCTCGCTGCAGCATTACCTTCTTTAGAAATTTCCAAAAGCCCATTGAGAATACCCTCAAAATATTCGTTAAAAATGGCAATACTTTTCTTTTTTTGTGACCAGCGTGTCTTACAAAGAGCTGGAATATTTGGCACGTACTTTCTCCGTAGAGAAGATTCTCGAAAAAGTTGATGACATCTTTTATTGTGCTAATCGTGTCTCTTATTTCTAGAACATCAATAAAATCATTAACCGCCAAGTTTATTTTGTAACTTGCACAAAGAAAATACAATGTTTTTTGCCCAAACAGGATTAACCACAAATAAAAAACTAATTAACTTTATAAAGGAAGACTCAACTGTTAACTCGAAAAGCAAGCCTTTTTCAATCCTAGATACTGAACCTGACTAGACCTACAATGTACCAGATGATGTTGGTGTTTCGTCATCCAGGCCGGATGTATTCCCCTTTTTTAGGCACATCAAACATAAGTAAAGTACTAATAGAGCTTACTGTATCGTACTATCATTCCAAAATATCTCACAATAACATTGAATAAATATTACGATCTTACCAACGAACTAACCAAAAACGGCTATCTAGTTAATTTACATGCGGTAGAAGTAGGTGCGAGAGGTATACCAGCAAAATCTTTCTATAACCTTCTAAAAGAGCTAGCTTGTGCTAGCTAGTAAAAAATAATTTTCGAATAAATATTTTTTATAATGCTTCTAAACCTGTGTTCTAAACGGGTCATAGTTGCCCGGCAATGTGTGGCTACGACAGATAATCATATTTTTAAGAATACCTTAATACTTGTTAGTTTTACACACAGTAACATTATACAGACTACAGACTAAAAAAATCCTTATACCTATCGAAATTACAGCTTTAGTAACGAGACTATGAGAGTGATGTGCGATTCTATATTTTTTTTTAATTTTATATTTAGTTTTTGGATTATTTGTTATTTAATTTTTGGTACTGAAGCTCCTCGATCTCCTCGACCCCCCTGCCCGTACCTGTCTACGCCCATGATGATGGCTCTAGCTAGATGCAATTAAACAAACTACACACGAATTTATGGACCGTTACGTGTACCTAGGACATACAGTCCAGTTAGGTAAGTCCAACTTTGAGAAAGAGATCTCTTGTCGTATCCAGCTCGGAAAGGCAGCGTTCGAGAAGTTACGGAAATCTTCACGTCCAAATAACCTCAGTGTCTCAAAACAAGTCTTTGAGCAGTGTGTGTCACCAGTGATGACCTATGGAAGCGAGACGTGGTCCTTTACTGCATCCCATAAGAAGGCTCAAGATCACACAGTGAGCAATGGGGAGAGCGATGCTCGGTATTTCCCTACGCGATGGAATCAGAAATAAGGAAATCCGTAGGAGAACCAAAGTAACCGATATCGCTTGAAAGATTGCTCTGTTGAAGTGGCAGTGGGCTGGACACGTAGCGAGAAGAACCATATGGCCGTTGGGGCGGAAAGGTTCTGGAATGGCGACCACGCACCTGACGACGCTCAGAGAGCAGGCCCTCTACAAGGTGGACCGACGATCTTGTGAAGGTCGCAGGAAGCCGATGGATACGAGTGGCGCAGGACCGATAGGTGTGGAGATTCTTGGGGGAGGCCTATGCTCAGCAGTAGGCGTCGCATGGCTGACATGATGATGATGAGCAAATAATATACCTCTTGTAATACGAGTTTGATTGGTTAAGAAGCGGCCATGCTTGCTTGAGGCGAGTACCGACTCCCGCGTTGGAACCCGGACGATCGATCGATCCTATTATCGTCTCTTCTTCCCTACAGAGACAAGCTAGTAGACACTATCCTCTCATCATGTTTAGAGTGCTGTGTGTTCATTCGTACATGTATTTAAAAAAATCCAAATCCAGTACCAGGCGGGCATAACGCTAAGGAAGTGCAAGCACGCTCGGCGCAGCAGACAAGGACAAGAAGCAGCTATAATAGATCGATAAGCTATTCATACATACTCATTCATTCATAACACATACTTCAGTACGTGCCACAAGTCATAAGCGGAAGCGATAGCGACTAAAATTGTTAAGGCTGGTCCAAGTTTACATTTAAAATTTTGAAATCTTGTGTGGGATTGGATTCTGTGACTGAGGCTTTTACTTTTGCTAAGATGCTGAATTTAGCACGCTCACCACCGTCAATGTTAAATCAATCGCTTAGTATGTCTGAACGCGATGTTAATAGGATGGTAGCGACTACTGCCGCTTTGGAGGATACTGAGCTTACTTATTGCAAGCAACGTGATAGCAAACACAAAATAATTGCTGAAGATCAAGAGGAACCCGAACGAGCCGACTTTCGAGGAATTATCCCTGAAGAACTACGAGATATAATGAATACCATGCAAATACAACAAAACTCGCGTATAGATATTATAGAAAACTACATTTCTGAAATCAAAACTCAAAACGATCTCATTCACAGAAAAGACCTTGGCATTGAAAAGTCTATTTAATTTTTAACTGTTGGACGAACTACAAAACACAATTAATCGTCTAGAAACTGAACGTAAACAAATCTCACCCCAGATTACTAACATTGGTCATAAATACGACACATTGGAGAGTCGTCAATAGTCACAAAATAACTTGACGATGGCGACCGATGTGTAGGCATCTTTCTAGATCTCAAAAAAACTTTCGATATCGTTTGCCTTCGAGGCATTCGTGGGCCTGCATGTGAATGATTTTGTAACTAATACAGTGGCAGAAGTCAAGTTATTCGAGTGGGGAGTGTTTCTAGCTCTGGGTCACCAGTAACGTATAGTATACCCCAGCACTCTTGGCCCTACACTGTTTCTAGCCTACGTCAATGAGCTCTGCAACCTTAAACTTGATAATGGAATATTCTGGCGTTCGCCGATGATACTGCGCTAATTTACAAAAATAAAACTTCCGCATTAGCTGAAAGGTCTGCTGAAAATGGACTAAGGAAAGTCATAAAGTGGCTGGATAACAATCTGCTTACAATTAATGTACAAAAAACAATATATATATATATATATATATATATATACTATAAAAGCTCATTCTTCTTTGTGTGACCAAGAAATTAACTGCAATTATGAACTCCACAAGTAACAGCGATAAGCTAAGATAATTGGTATGTATTTATATGTATTTCTTTCGAAGTATGTATTTAAATATGTATCTATGTTAATTCGTATATATTTTAATATTATTTATTAAATCAAATTTTTATGTGTATTTTTAGCTTTATACCGTCGCCGCGTCGTTCGTTTTTTCTTTTTTCCCAAAGGTTGACTGGGAGAGAATGCTATTAGCATCAAGTCCGCCTTTTGTACCATTCTCTTGTATTTTGGTCAATAAAGTTTAAATAAATAAATAAATAAGCGAAAGGATAATAAAACTCTTACCCATTTTTAGGAGCCTCAGAGATGCCGCCGACCACAAGCTAATTCGTAAAATTTATTTTGCTCTCTGCTTAGATTAAAAGTTTTAATCTAAGGCTCTCTGCCAATCTCTTCTGACATACTGTGTTACGGTGTGGGGTGGAGCAGCTGCCTCTCTTCTCCTGTGCGCAGACATTCGGAAACTGGAGCCGCGACCACACCCGCCCTTTTGGCACGCACTAGGGGGACCACGGTTCTCATAGTGCGTGTCGGGTGACGGTGCAGGAGTATTGTCTGGTTTTTAGTGGGCCCTGAGGCTAGCTGAAGTGAGCAGGGAGGAGTCCCACATACCTTCTTCTCGCTCCCCCAGTGCTTGAAGGATACATAAGGCATTTCCCAGACACAAAAAAAGGTCCGCGTCCCTAATGCAATAACCAGAATCCACGCTCTACATACCTTAAAAATCGTGTCCTCAGCAGCTCCACAATAAATAACGGGGTTTCCTACCTTAGCATCCGATACAAGTCGCACTTTAGAAGTTCCGAAGCATCGTTTCCCGAAAATCATCCTTCTCTTTGCTCAATTAGAAGAGCGAGGAAAGTCATGGCACTTCGTTCGAAATTGATAGGTATTGTCAAATATGCATATTATAATTCAGTTTTAATGTAATAAATAAAAAAATAAGTAACAAGAAATTATGCCACTTTATTTTCTATAAAATTATTGACACGTTTATTAAATGCCAACACAATATTTGTTAGTGCACAAGACAAAATAATTTTGTGAAAATTACATTAAGTCTATACCTACTCGTATTTAAGAACATACTTATTGAAAATGATTTCTTAACTATAAATATGTGAAAATTAAATGCAGTTTTAAACAACCTACTTTTTATGTAAAATAGTGAAGAGGGTGTATGAAGCCTTAAGTACCTGGAAAACAACGTAAACTATGTTATTAGTGTTTATATTGTTATATATTTTTAGGCCCAATTTACTTTAACATCGAATTTTGAAAAACTTGGTATCCGCCCAGCCCAGTCGTAATATTGTTCAGCTATAATGGCAATTATCGTCCTCCTTTGAAATTGCTGAGCTTGTAAAGAAATAAATTTCGTACCAGAAAACCTATTTTTAAGAACGATGTAATTTTCGAATAACTAATTGAAAATTTGTTTCTTTAAAAGAAGAAACAGTGAAAACGGAAATAAAGATTTTCTCCCTAACCGCTAAATAAGACTCCAAATTGATGGGTACGATTTTAGCTGCACAGATGACCAGCGGTCGGGTGCAGCACATCATGAAGATGAGCAGCAGGCGGCGCGAGCGCGGAGATATGTCTACCCAGTTGCTGCAATATGCTGACTCAGCGATGAACTCGCTCTGAAAGGATTTTTTTAATACACGTAATAAAATATAGAGATAACACACAGCGGATTTCCCGTTCAAATTGGAGCGCTCGTCTGGGCAAGCAACTTCCACTTACAAAAGACCACAGTAGTTTGCTGCAGTTTGTTTCTGCTGGTGAGTAGGGTTCCAGGGCTCCACAGGATAGGGGATTGGGTGACGATGGCTGGAACGGCAAACCTTCTGCCGCATCACTTATCTTCGCGACTGAACTCCACTTACACTTAACATCAGGTGCAGTGCGCCGGGTAATTTATTGCGCCTCGTATGAAAAACATATAAAAATGACTGATATATTGTTTTAAACTTTCATGGTCACTAACATTATAGCTATTAACGGGATTGTTACCATGTAAGCTTGTTTTTTATGAGTCTCCGATATTTCGGCACTGTTGCAAGCGCCATGATCACGGAGTCCTCATAAAAACAAGGTACATGGTAACAATCCTGTTAATAGCTATAATAAAAATGACTGATGCCTGTCACCGTGCTGTATTGTTCCTTCGGGAAAATCTTATTCAACAGCATAGTCATATACTCTTGCGTATGGGGCAATACCCTACCTTAAAATACCCTACCCTAAATAGGCGGGACGGGTAGATACTGATGATGGATGATTGTGGGTAGATGAAGCTTCACACTTTAAGTGCTCTTAACTCAGTTTGAATTGGAATCACATTCGAGTTTGCGGGAAGCAAGAAATGTTTTTGAAGTGAAACTTTTTATATATCGCCACATTTTGTCGCATTAGAATTTTAATTGTTATGAAAAAAATTAAAGCATTGTCAACAAGCAACGGTCGTAGAAAGATTGTCTTTTTTTCATTTTGTATCAATTGCTAAGTGTTGACATCAATATTCCGCACACACTAAAAAACTTTGAGGCGATGTAAAAAACTTTAAGTTTTACTTGCATCAAGATTTCACAAAACCATAGCATTATTTTTTAATATTCTATTTTTCAATTTGGTTTTTGTGTGTGTTTCCGTAGTTTTATTTAATGAGCCACAACCAATCAATTGGTCCACTAAATACTTTTAAGTTGTCTTGCAGCCTAAGAAATAGGTACTAGAAGAAATCCGACACGGCTATTTTCAATAGATATATGTATATATATATATATATTAGAAAGGTCCATATGTATGTAGATAAGTTAGTAAAAAAAATATTTTTTTATCTCAATGAGGGCGTATCGCGTATGATTGATATGAATCCGCCGCTAGAGGTACTTGTGTTGTGTGAGGTCTCGGAAATGTCTAATATTATTGCTTGTGGGTTGGCTACGCGGGTTTATTTCTAATTTAAAAAATGTTCTGCATATTTGGTAATAACTCAGATTCATTATGGCAAATATGAGTTATTTGTCAATATTATGTCCTCCTTTTTCCGAACAAAACAGAACTGCGCAACAGTGTGGCATGGCCGATTATGTTTACGTTACGGTTCTTTTGTATTAAAATATGATTTATATGTAAACTTTGATTTCACGCGCGTATTAATAAAATATAAAAGCAACTCTTCAGGACTTCACTCAACAGAGGCGCCATCAGGTAAGACAAAAAACGGTAGCCCTCGTTAGATTAATATTTATTTCAATCAATTCAATTATATTATACCGGCATAGCAATAACAAAACGAAGAGTTGAAATGAAAATGTAAGAAAAAAAATACTTCACAACATGCTCAGAGGTCGCGCAATTGTTCGTGTCGTGCGTACGCATAAGCAAGCCGAGTAGTGACGAAATATTCCAAACACCTCCGTAAGAAATAATAATCGGCATTGCCGACTAGTCGGCTGAATAGTCAGCAATTTGAAAACCGATCTTAAAACTTAATACCAATATTAATAAGTACTTTGCATACCTACCTCAACTAAAACTTGCGATCCGTGATAACAGTACATGAAAAATTGCATCAACATACAATTCAAGTAGCCTATCGTCAAAAAGAATTCTCCCGAAAACATGTCTACCTGAAATGGACAAGAGCTACTTATATCTCAAATTCTATGTGCAGTCAATGAAATCAATTATAAAAATCCATTAAAAAATATGATCCGCCGGATAAATAAGCGGCCACCGAAGCACATTTAACAGATTTTCAAAATATTGAAAGCAAGCGCACATTGAGCCACTAGTGGCTCAGTCAAGCCACTAGACACAGCAACCGATCGCCGCCGCTAGTGGCTATACAAAATATATGAAAAACTTGACCGCATCTTGTGGACGGGATTAGTGGCTCAATGTGCGCTTGCTCACTGTTGGCCAAGGTTTTTCAAAACACATAGCAAAAGCCTCTGGCACACATAGTTCATGTTCATTTTGTATTACTTCACTTTTAAATCATCAACAACTCGCAACATATAATTTCGCTTTACCCTTTATCTCCTCTTTTGAATTTGTATCGAAAGCTATAAGTATTTAGCAGGAATCTTTACATGTATGATGAAAGTTTTTTGTAAAATACTAATGTAATTTAAATTAAATACTTACAGTAACTAGCTTATACACACTCATACAGATAGTCCAACAAGCCACAGAAAGTTGTAAGGTCACAAATTCATTGCTTATAGACTGCGTTTCGCTCAAAAACCTTGAAAAAAGAACGAAAAAGTTTAATAGTAAAAAAAATATGCGTCTACGGGTATTTATTTCTTTCAATTCCTGATACTTGGTATCTATTTCAGGCTCAGAAGCACGGAATATCTCACGAATGGGTCGCTTACGTCACTGATAATACTTAGCTACCAACCGACAGAAATCTGGAAAAAATGCATTAGAGAACTAATTTCGTCACAAAATATCATCATCATCATCAACCGCCTATCTGAGTGCTGGACATAGGCCTCTCCAAATGCACGCCACTCAGATCGATCTTGGGCTACTCGCATCCAGCTCCTGCCAGCCACCTTGCGCAAATCGTCACTCCATCGTGCCTGAGGACGTCCTACACTACGTTTGCCTAGACGCAGTCTCCACTCCAGAACTCGTCTACCCCAACGGTTATCGGTTCTTCGGCAAATATGGCCAGCCCACTGCCACTTTAACTTGCTAGTCCGGTGGGCTATGGCGATAACTCTGGTTCTCTGCCGGATTACCTCATTTCTGATGCGATCTTTCAGAGAAACACCGAGCATAGCCCTTTCCATAGGGCGCTGAGCGACTTTGAACCTCTACAGGTTCCACCAGCCGTACCGTCAATGTCCACGTCTCGGTTCCGTATGTCAACAGGTAGGACGCACTGATTGAAGACTACCGTCTTTAGGCACTGTGGGATCGATGATGTCAGGATTTGACGTAGCTTTCCAAACGCTGCCCATCCTAGCTGAACTCTTCTATTCACCTCGTCCTCAAAGTTGTTTCTACTTAACTGCAATGTCTGCCCGATGTACACATGTTTTTGAACAACTTCGAGAACGGCACCGTGTATTGCAATCGGTTCCGGTAGAACATGTTCTTCAATGAACCTTGACCTTGGTTTTATCCAACTTCATCCATGGGCCGATGCTTATAGAAGAGTCAGCCAGGTCATTCAGCATCTGTTGTAGGTCCTGCAGGGTTTCTGCCATGATAACGATGTCGTCTGCAAATCGCAAGTGAGAGATGCGTTCGCCATTTATGTTGATGCCACGTCCTTTCCAGTTCAGCGTCTTGAACAAAGAGACATCTAATCACTTGGATGTATCGCCAGTCGACTTGGCAACGCTGCAGGGACTCCAGGACAGACCAGATTTCAATCGAGTCAAAGGCCTTCTCATAGTCCACAAATGCTAGGCACAGGGGCTGATTGTACTGTACAGTCTTCTGTATAATCTGCCGCACTGTGTGGATGTGGTCTATGGTGCCGTATCCTCTTCGAAACCCAGCCTGTTCCGGTGGTTGGAAGTCGTCAAGTCTTCGCGCAAGACGGTTCGCGATCACTCTTGCGAACAGCTTATGGACGTGGCTTAGAAGGGATATGGGTCGATAATTCTTAAGTAGGGTCTTGTCCCCCTTTTTAAAGAACAAGACGACCACACTCCTACTACACGCCTCCGGAGTTCTCCCTTCGAACAGGACAGTGTAAGACAAGAGTTCTGTGGAACACCATACTCTCCAGGGGCTTTTCCATTTTTAAAGATGTCCAAGAGCAATCTCGATTTCGCCAATACTGACTTGTGGCAGGTCTTCGGTGAAGTGGCGTGTTAATGTAGCTCTGGAATCCTCATTTCCAGGATCGGGTCGAGATGCATGTGATACGTATAACTGGTAATAGAAGTCTTCGACTTCCGAAAGGACTGCCGGCTTTGAAGCAACAACTTCCCCACTTGCTGTGGTCAACTTCGTCAGATAGCTTCTTCCAAGAGATTGTACCTACACTTTGGACCCTCGATTCTGATCGATCGCTCTCTCAATCGAGAGAGTATTGGAGCACCGGAGGTCGTGTCGTACGTGCTTACTGATCTCTTGGCTTAGAGTCCGCTTTGCCGACGAAGTGACGGATTTTTACGTCGTTCCTTCATAAGCCCTAAAGTCTCTTCCGAAAGCTTTGACTTCCTACTCTTACGCTGCGTTGCACATAGTCTCGTACCCTCTTCCCTGAGGATCTTGGAGCAGAGTAGGTTGGAGCCTGGATCTCATCAAACGGACGCGCTCGGCCCTAAAGTTGATATTCAGAGAGCCCCGGACGAGTCGGTGATCACTACCGGTATTGAAACTGTTAATCACGGAGACGTCTCTTAATATGTACCTCTTGTCCGTCATGATGAAGTTGATCTCATTTTTAGTCATAGTGTCGGGGCTTTGCCACGTCCACATCCTTTGGGGCTGTTTCTTAAAGAAAGAGTTCATCAAGAAGAGCCTTTCCCGTTCGAGGAAGTTGACGAGCATTTGCCCCCTATGATTTCTGCTTCCAAATCCATGGGATCCTACTATCGATTCGCTGCAATTCTTTACTCCCACTTTAACGTTGAAGTCCCCCATAACAACGTTGTAGTGGGTCTTAGTAGTGGGGTGGAAGGCCCTCGATATATCGTCGAACATATCCTCCACTTCGTCGTCCGAGTGTCGAGGTCAGTGCGTACACTTGCACCACCTTGAGGCTATACCTCTCGGTGAGCTTTATAATAAAGTACACTACCCTGTTGGACACGCTGGACATTTCTACAACGTTTTAAGCAAGGGACTTATTTACCAAAAACCCAACGCCACCTTGGGACTGTTGGTCTTCCACGCGGAAGTACATTAGGTGGCCCGATTCGAGGGCTGTGGTGTCAGCGCCAGATGCGAGTCAAACCGTAGCGTGCGTCCGTTGTACGTCGCCAGGGTCAGTCTATTGTGGTGGCGAGTATATATTTTGGGGTGTAAGGGCAAATTTCTAATCTTGCAGGTGGCAAGAACCCAAGCCAACCTCACCTTCACGTGGTGCACCTTGTTGACGAACAGACGAGGCTCTGGCAAACCTACCGATGGCGGTATAACCATCCAACGACGTAGGGAAGGGAAATCTCACTTATGACGGGCAGCAGCGTCATCAGTAAATAAACCTACATTCTGCGATCGCCAACCCGCCTGCCCAGCGTGGCGATTACGGGAAAAACGGCAGGTATATATATATTAGATTCCCGGAGATTCTTGGCTCCCCCCGTCCCGCCGTTACTGTGGTCGCCACCGTGACCAGGAATAGCGTGGCTTCCGGGAACTTGGGGCCTTGGCTTGTGTTTCTTGTGCATAGAAGGTTTTGCCCGTAATCGCCACGCTGGACAGGCGGGTTGGCGATCGCAGAACGTAGGTTTATTTACTGATGACACTGCTGCCCGTCCCAACTGAGATTTCCCTTCCCTACGTCGTTGGATGGTTATACCGCCATCGGTCGGTTTGCCAGAGCCTCGTCTGTTCGTCAACAGGGTGCACCACGTGAAGGTGAGGTGAGGTTGGCTTGGGTTCTTGCCACCTGCAAGATTAGAAATTTGCCCTTACACCCCAAAATATATACTTACATATAATTCTGTGCATAATATAAAAAAAAATATATATTCAAGCTCACCCGTCTACGCTACTATGCTTAATAATGTCGACTTTCGATCATGAGAATGCGTCCGTTCTTCAAATTTAAACTAAGGCTGCGGGTTAAAATCAAATCACGTAGAATGTGAAATTGTAGGTAAAACGCATAACCAAAACTGACGGCGCGATTTTCACCCGCAGAAAACTGCGGTCATGTGAGTTTTGAAATATAACATTTCTGCGGTGGCCAGAAGGCGACTGCGGGACAAAACCGCTCTGTGAGTTCTTAGCCTGACTGGAGCAATATGGTAGCTGTACCTGCTTACCAAATAATTTTTTGATGGTGTTTAACGCAATGCACCAGCCTCTTCTTTATAAGATTATCGTCTATGTAAGACAATGTATTCTCATTTATAGTTCCTTCTTGGAGATCCACATCATCCAGATCGGTGAGATGCTCCAGATTGTACCTCAGTAATTTCAACTGTAACTCACATTGGCCATAAAAAGCCACAATGGTGCAGTCGACAATACTGTTCACGTAGCCTTGCAATGTGAGTGCTATACCGAAATATGAGCACGCAAATACTTCGATGCTGTTGATGAAGATATCATAAACGTAAATCACAATACTGCAATCTACTTAAGGCTAAGTTCATATGACCGCGCAGTACCGCGCGAATCTACCTACCACGTGGTACAAGATCAAAACAAACAGCTAATTATCGTCCACATAACCGCACGGTACCGCGCGGCAACGCGCGATGCACTCCCATCCGCGCACAAGATCTTGAACCGCGAGTCCCCGCACGGCTCAAGTTCTACGAATCTGTATCGGCCTGTTCATTTGATCTCCCCTGGGTGTGAGACGGACAGACGCATAGATGCAGGAAAAATGAGTAGCGAAGACAAGGTGATATGCAATATCTAATAGCATCATCATTGGGTTTTGTCAAATCGAATGATGCAACCTACACCCTAAAATAGTTAAAAAATATTCATGTAGTCTCAGGTTGGGATTTGTACGGTTTTACCGTAACATATTATTATGACGTGTACAATGTTTACGTTGCATCCCTTAGCGTGTCACCGCCGCGCTCGTAACTTTGTTTACCTATAATAAATTTATAATATAATAAAAAGTATCGCAATAAACTTTGTAACGACAACAACCTTCTATTTCATTTAACTATTTCTTCATTTTAATACTGGCGTACTCTTAAAACTACTAAATATTATTACAGGTGAACTTCTGCAACGAGAAATACGTGGTGGACAGTACAGGTATAACATAACAAACAGACTTGAAGAAAGTCTTTCACTTAAAATAGCATGCACCCAATATCGTCTTTGTCTTATCTGCAACGTCTCAGCTTTCGGTATAAAATCGATAAGCAAATTGTCTCCTCTATGTCCATTCCTAAGCAATGTTGATGCCAGACTGAAGCGCGTACATACGCCGTCATGCCGGAATGCACCAACCTGTACCGCGCGGTCATATGAACTTAGCCTAACACTTACATTGACACTAGTCCGGTGAAATTAGGCAGAAAAATAAGAGTGAGCGTACATAAATTTACATCAAGCTGGAAGTGAGTAAAATTGTTCGAAACATAAGTAAGTAATAAAGTTTTATCGTAAAAAAAACTCAGACAAAAATTTTTGATTAAATGGTATCTATCTATATTTTTAGGGTAAAAGGAAAAAAACAGAACCCTTATAGGATCACTTTGTTGTCCGTCTGTCCCTCTGTCAAGACCGTTTTTCTCAGGAACGCGTGGAGGTATCAAACTGAAATTCATATCTAATACTCAAGTCTACTGTCCCTTGGAGCTGTGAAAAAATCAAACTTCTAAGCAAAAGCAATCAAAAAAAGATACAGCCGTTTATGCCGCAAATTTCCATAAATTTTCGAAACTCGCACGGGAATCAAAACCTGCAGGGTACTTCCCGTGAACTTAGAATCTTGAAATTTGGTACGAAGTAACGCTTTATGAAAATAGCAAAAACCCAATTTCTTGACCTTAAACATGTTTTGTACATTTTACTAACTTTCAGACTAATGTTAATTTATGTACCTTTGAATATCTAGATTAAACGGATTATACTAAAAATCACTAAATGTAACGTAGGCACCAAAATTGAGAGTTGAAGTCAGCGTAAAGCCCGCCCATAGGCGTGTTATTATCGGTCGATAATATGGGATGCATTATTGGGATATTTCGTTATACTTCTACTGCGCCGTTATTATCGCAGCCGTATGTAACTTCGTAGCCGTTCTCACAATATACTATTGTATAAAGAGAAAAAAGGATACACTGACAGACTGACTGACTGACTCATCAACGCACAGCCGATACGGCTGGACCTCGAATTATGAAATTTGGACAGTAGATTCCTTATGAGGTCTAGGGGTGCACTAAGAAAGGATTTTTCAAAATTTACCCCCGAATGGATTAAAAATAGAGGATGAATGTTTGTATGAAAAATCTTATTCCTTAAGTTAATAGACTTGAAACTTGGCACGAATACTTCCCTAAATAAATTATAAAGTTTTTAATATTTAGTTTTCCTAAAATACACCATAAAAAGAGGATTAAGGGTGTCGAAGTTATATAGGAATGAATCTTAACGCGCGGTTCGAAACAGTAAAGTCTAATATGACACAGAGGCTATGCAGAAGTTTTAATTATAAGTTACCTCTGCCTTAAAGTTGCCGCAGAACCTAAAATATGTGGAAACTGTAATAATAGGTAATATTTCAAAACAGAGAAAATATGCAGAAGGAACAATTTCCCAATGCGGAATTGGGGACTTCAATGCTCACCACAATTTGTAGTTAAGTTCCTCTAAAACCGACCGTGCAGGGATCTCTGCTCACGCATAACTTGAAGCAACTGGTAGATCAGTCCACCAGGATCCCAGATTCCAAGTCAAACGCCTTCTTTACTGGACCTTCTGCTCACGACCCATCCACAGGGCTATCAGGTTGTGAGTAGAGCCCCCCTGGGCTCGTCCAATCACTGCCTGAAATCTGCCAAAGTATCACAGGCCAAGCCCCCACGTCCAGCAGTGGTCAAATGCCGTATCTGGAATTATGGGTCGGCAGATTGGGACGGTATGCGTGATTACTTTGCGACAGGGACCTATCGGCCAGCGCCGTTGCCATGATAGAAGATTATAATGGGTATGGAATACTATATTCCTCATTCTAATCTAATCAGTAAGGGCACACGTAACCTCTGGTTCAATCACGACTGTGCTGAAGCTGCTTTGCGTAAGCAAGCGGCGTATCATGCTTGGATCAGAGGCCGTGCTCTTAAGGATCCCGAGGTCTAAAACTCAAAGCAGCCTACAATTTGCTTCCAAGGCCTGTAAGAAGGCTTACATCAGAGCGGATGCCCAGCGCGTTGCACGTGTTGGTCAGGAACTTATAATGCATTCTACGGGCTCCCGTAGCTACTGGCGTTTGGCCTTGGCCGTGCAGAAGAACTTCTGCCAGCCCTCGCTGCCACCTCCGAGATGCCCAGACAGAACATTAGCTTGCTAGCTTATAAGCCACAGGAGAAAGCCGATTTACTGGCAAAACTCTTTGCGGCTAACTCCCGAATCGATGATTGCAATGCACTGCCACCATCATTAGCTCATTGTGGCATAACAATGTCTGATATTAAAATTACGCAGCGTGAGGTTCGCGCTGAATTGCAGTTACTCGACGTCCGGAAAGCTAGTGGACCTGATGGCATCCCAGCAGTTGTACTTAAAAATTCTGCAACAGAGTTGTCTACCGTGGTCACACGCTTGTACCAAAGCTCGTATTGTTTGGGGCGTGTGCCGGAGACTTGGAGAGAAGCCAACGTGCAACCGGTGCCCAAAAAGGGGATCGATCAGACCCGGCCAACTACCGGCCAATAGCAGTCACCTCAGTATTATGTAAAGTCATAGAAAAGATCCTTAACAACCATCTGACCCGCTACCTATAGGATCACTCTCTGATTAATGATCGTCAGTATGGTTTTAGACCGAAACGATCGACGGGTGATCTTCTAGCGTTCTTGGCCCATGTAGTACCCGCTCCAGTTAAAATTGGGAACACTACACCCGAAGTTGTCGACCGTTACGTTTACCTAGGACAAACAGTCCAGTTAGATAAGTCCAACATTGAGAAATAGATCTCTCGTCGTATCCAGCTCGAATAGGCAGCGAATAGGAAGCTACTAAAAATCTTCGCGTCCAAATTACCTCAGTGTCTCGAGACAAAAGACCTTTGACCAGTGTGTGTTGCCAGTGATGACCTACGGAAGCGAGACGTGGTCCTTTACTGCGGGTCTTATAAGAAGGCTCAATGTTACACAGCGAGCAATAGACAGAGCTATGCTTGGTTTTACCGTACGCGATAGAATCAGAAATGAAAAAATCCGTAGGAGAACCAAAGGAACCGATATTGCTCGAAGGATTGCTCTGCTGAATGGCAGTGGGCGGGACACGTAGCAAGAAGAATTGATGGCTGTTGGGGCGGAAAGGTTCTGGAATGGCGACTACGCACCGGACGACGCTCAGTGGGCAGGCCACCTACAAGTTGCCTGACATGATGATGATGATGACTGAACTACTTGAAGGACAACAGATTGTTTTATAACTCTATATGTAAACACTGTCGATGCCGTTAATTATTCAGTAGAGTTCTTAAACACTTTGAACCCACCGGCCTGCACTACCACAGACTTTTACTGCGTGTGGGTACACCTGTTATGTTATTAACAAATTAAAAGCCACCCAAACTTTGCTACGGCACTAGGTTGCAAGTAAAAGCTTTGCATCGGAACGTAGTAGGAAACACAATTTATACCATTAATACCAAATGATCTTTCTCTCCTTTGAATTCAAAAGGCTTCTGTTTTCCCTGAAGGTCTGTTTCGCCATGACCACAAATAAGTCAAATTCGGCGGAGTAAACCTACGACAGGACTGTTTCTCCCACGGTCAGTTTTATGTATGTGGCATGCTCCCGTGTAAGTTTACCACAAAGTTTGGTGGTATTGCAATTTAACATTGTTTGTTTGTATAAAAAAAATTGCTACCTGTATCACTAAGCGTCGCGGACGAAGTCACAGGCAAAAGCTAGTGCATAATTTATGTCCTTATATCAGCTATCGCAATAACGCATCAGATAATTTCGACCGATAATAACGCGTCTTTTGGAGGGAGGGAGGCCTAAATTAAAAGCAGCATCATAACCTTGGACGATCACCAAATTTTCTGCCTGTTTCCCTTTTTCGCATTTTGACCCTTAATTGCAGGTATATCGTAAGTGAGATAGGAGCCACCACTCCATCGTTGCTCCAGGGCCTCCACACCTCTAAATCCAGCCCTGGCCTCATATCACATGATTCTAATGAATTAAGTATAAATACAATACTTTTGGTGTAATTATTACGTTTCATTGCTTTTAAATATATTTATTTTCTTTTTATAATTTTATATGTGCCAACCTGTTGTCGTTTTGCTGATCGATGTATTGTTATGTGTTTGTAGTGATAAATTTGCTTAAGCCTTTTGTTATCTCTAACAGTTGCTTGGTAAGGTGTGCAGTTTCTTTTATTGGTTATTTGTCTTTTTTTTTAAATATTGTTATTTATTTAATATCGTATTTTTTTATATTTATATATATTTAATAGTTACGTCAGATACAGATGACTTTTACTCATTACATGATAGTAGCTCGTCGTTTCACTCCTTTAATTCTTCATTACATGAAACCTGGTTAAAGCCATGCCTTAATTCCGCCTTGTACTGTCCACCAGGTTTCGAATTATTCCGCAATGATCGCGTCGGTAAAGGCGGTGGTGGTGTGGCTATCTACTTGTCAAGCCGCATACCAGCCAAAATTTTATATTCATCCTTTTCGCATCATGGCTGCATGGAACATTTGTTCCTAGAAATTGACATTAGGGGTACCAAAGTCATCCTCGGAGTCGTATACTGCCCTCCTTCGATTGATGACTTTTCTGACCTTGAGGTCTTGATTGATTCTTGTGCCATCGTTTATAATCACCATATTATTATGGGTGACTTCAATACAGACCTTTTAATTAATTCACCCTCTTCACGAAAGCTTCGTTCTTTAATTACGTCGGCAAACTTCTCCTTTTTACAGCTTAATCCTAGTCATCATAATCTCAATACATCCGATTAATGGATTGACCATATCATTGTATCTTCCTCAGATCGTGTCGTTAAATTCGGTCAAATCTCTGCTCCTTGCTTCTCTAGACACGATCTTATTTATATTGCATACGATGTGAAGCCTCCCAAATCGTAGCCTAAAATGATCTCCATTCGGAACTTTGCGAGGATGGATACGGAAAAACTTGAGCGTGATGCGAGTTTAATTGATTGGTCTCCTATTCGAGAAATGCCCTCTGCCAACGACATGGTCACCTACTTTAACACGGAGGTTCTTAAGTTATTTGATAGGCACGCTCCTATAAAAAAGGTCA